TGGGGTGCCCACCTCCAGGTTGCCAGTTCCCCGGGGCTGGCAAGCTGGGACGGGGCCGGGCAGGACGGCCGGGAGGCAGCCTCCAGCCTGGGGCTGGTCCCCCCCGCGCTCCCGAGCGTCCCGCGTTTTTGCCTGGTTGGATCATGTATCCCTCCCCTCTCCTTCCTGAGGACGAGGAGTGATTTACAGGTCTCCAGAAACACACAGCTTGGCTGCTTAGGAAGGGGAAAATAATAATAATAATTAAAAAAAAAAAAAAGCCAAAAGCCAATCTGCTCGCTATTTCCATTGCCCATCATCCTTCCCACGAAGGGGGAATAATTAAAAAAAAAAAAAAAAGCCAAAAGCCAATCTGCTCGCTATTTCCATTGCCCATCATCCTTCCCACGAAGGGGGATGGCCCCGCTCCTCCCCCCAACCCTTCCTTTCTGGAAGGAGCAAAGCTCCCGGGACACGTGGGTCCCTCTTTCAAGATGTTCCCACCTTGAGCCATCTTCTCCGTGAAGCTCCCGTGTGGGTCAGGGCTCACCCGGGGGCGTTTGCTGGGGGTAATTCTGTCCCTCCAAGGAGTCCCCCCCCCGTGATGGCCCCAGCGTCACCTCTCCCCGCGGAGCTCCCCCCTTCCCCGGCCGCCTGAAGGGGCCCCTTGTGCGGCCGGGACCCGAACAAGGCGGCGATTGTCCCCGCGTGCCCGGACCGTCGGGGCTTCTGCCGCCGTAAAAACGGCCGCGTCTGCCCCGTGCCCGTGGGTTTGCCTCGATGGAGCTCCTTGGGGGGGCTGTTCTGGGGCCGCAGGGATGGAGGTTGCATTTAAAAAGCTGCTTCGGGATGAGGGAATAAAAGGTCCAGCTCTTGGGGTGGGAGGAGGTGGAGAGGTGGCTACCTCTGAACTGGGGGGTGCACCGCGTGGGCCATCCCAAGGACCGTGGTGGGATGTGGGGCAGGCCGTGGGGCAGAGCGTGATGGCGTTCCCGCAGCTGGCAGGAGATGGGAGGGAGGGAGGAAGAGTGTGGGGCTGGCCCCTGGGAGACATCGTCCCATGGGGACCGGAGCCAGGAAGGGCTGATGGAGGTGGTGTTGGGGTGGCCACGTCCCCTTCTGTTTTCCACCTCTCCCACCTCTTTTCCTCACGGCAATGTCCCCCCCGGCAGCGCAATGGGGGTTTCTGGAGTTCGGGATTAATGCGGGGGTGGTCAGTGGGTCTCTCCCACCCCACCCGAGCAAAGGTCCCCACCCTGGGGTGGTGGGTGTTGGTTTGGGGTTCATCCGGGGGCAGCGCCAGCCCTCGCCGGGGGGGATGGGGAGACGGAACAGAGCCACCTCTGTTGGGGAGCCCCAGGGCCACGGCTCTTCTGGAGGTGAGGGGGATGATGCCCCACCATCCTGCTCTCCTGCCCTTCTGCTCTGCCCTGGGGAGGCCCGAGGGGGATGATGCCCCACCATCCCGCTCTCCTGCCCCTCTGCTCTGCCCTGGGGAGGCCCCATCTGGAGCACTGGGACCAGTTCTGGGCTCCCCAGTTCCAGAAGGACAGGGAACTGCTGGAGAGGGGACAGCAGAGGCTACAGAGATGGTGAGGGGCCTGGAGCATCTCCCTTCCGAGGAGAGGCTGAGGGACTTGGGTCTCTTGAGTCTGGAGAAGAGATGGCTGAGGGGGGATCTGATCAATGCTCATAAATACTTCAAGGGAGGGTGTCAGGAGGATGGGGCTGGTCTTTTTTCAGTGGTGCCCAGGGACAGGACAAGAGGAAATGGGGACAAACCTGAATGTAAGAAGTTCCACCTAAACAGGAGGAGGAACTTCTTTGCTGTGGCAGAGCCCGGGAAGAGGCTGCCCAGGGAGGTGGTGGAGGCTCCTTCTCTGGAGACATTCAAACCCACCTGGACACGTTCCTGTGGGACCTGCTCTGGGTGGCCCTGCTCTGGCAGGGGGTTGGACTGGATGATCTCCAGAGGTCCCTTCCAATCCCATGTCATTCTGTGATCTTCAGAAAGGCGAGCCGTCTCCCCCCACCGCTTCCTCTCCCCAGCTGAAAACCCCCCCCAGCGCTACGGAAAGGCACGGGGACATCAATCCTTGTTGTGATCCTGTTGGGTCCCGTGATATTACAAGCCGAGAGAAATGTCCTCATTATTCCCGGAATATTGAAGTCTAATAAATCCCGTCCTGCCTGACAGGATTTATTTCTCCCTTCATTGCTGGGAGACTCAGTCCCGTGTAATCCTATTGCTGCTCCGGGAGGCGGCTTTCCCAGGGATGGGCCGTGGCGATGGGCAGGAGATCCCGGCAGGAGCAGAACCCCCCCCTGGAGCTGCTGGTCCCCCCCGGGGATGGCTCCAGCCCCACGAGTGTCCCAGTGCCACCCCCCTTTCCCGGGATGTCCCACTGTCCCAGAGCTGTGGGCTCACGGAAACGCATCCCATCCCATAATTAGGGCACGGCTGGGCCAACGGGGTGTTAATCAGCAATTAGCCAATTAACGTGGCATGGCACGGCATAGCCTGCTCCCCTGACCCCACATTTGGGGTCCTCCAACGCTTTCCCATGTGGGAAAAGTTGGGAAAAGCTGGAAAAAGCCGTGCCCAGCTCACCGGACACTGGGGACTCTCCCTGAGACCGTGACGGACACACGAATATGGCTGGACATTTTCACCAAGGAACCTTTTTTTTTTTTTTTTTCCTTAGCAACCGTTGCCGGGGCAACCTGCATCCCCAGCAGCATCCATCCCAAAACACCCCAGCCCTGGCTGCGGGACCGGCAGGGACCACCTCGGCTGCTCCGGCTGCACCCACCCCCCGGCTCCGAGCATCCCCCGGCCCCCAGAATGCCCTGCTTTTGATCTTATTTATTTATTTATTTATTTATTTTGGGGATTTTTTTGGTATTTTATTTTCTCAAGAGGTGGGAGAAGCCGGAGGGAGACCTGTCGGTGCCTGTCCCCCTGCCCCGGGCGCGGGGCCGCGGAAGCAGAGGAGGGGGGGGTTGAGCGGGAGCCGTTGCCAGCTCAGGGCGCTCGCCGTGATTTTTGGCACCCAAAAAAAAGGGCCGGGATGATGGAGCGTCCCCGTCGCCGCGGGGAGGGGGAAAACCACATCCCTGCTGCTTTCAAGTGCCAAAACGGGGAGTTGGTGGCCCCGAAGCCGTGCCCTGGTGGCATCACCCCGGGGGAT